CAAGGGAGCTGCTGCGTTGCTGCCGCCCCACACACGCTGCCCTCATCACGGGGCTGCTGCCCTGGGTGCGGGACGTGCTGGCACTGTGGTGGGCTTAAAATGCAGGGGGAAACTGCTTCTAGCAGCCAAAAACCTGGAGGAGGATGAGGGGGAGCGGCGTGCGCAGCGCGGCCCACGCGCTCCTGCCTGGAGGGCACTCGCACCGTGCACAACCCCACGGGAGAGGGAGTTTGTTTGCAAGGAAAACAAAGATTAAAGAGAATTAAATAAACCGGAGGTGGGACGAGGGAGGAAGAGATGGGGAGCAGATGGTGAGAAGGGGGGAAGCAGGGAGACAGGCACAGGAGTTGTGGAGACCCCAGGGGAGAGGGGAAAGAAAAGGCAGGAAGAGAGCGCAGGAAAGGCAGCCCGAGGAGGCAATGGTGAGGTCTGGGCACTGCGGGGAAGCGAAGCACCCCGGGCCTTGGCACTGGCTCCCGTTTTTGCTCAGCCTCCCGCTGGGCCTCCCTTCTGCCCCTTTCTTTCCAGCATCTTTGTTCATGGGCGTTCAGTTCGCTGCCGAAATCCACAATGGGATCTACAGAGGGATAACTGAGGGGTATCTCCGTGTAGAGCCTGAGGCTTGGGAGGAGGAGGAGGAGTTGCCACGAAGAGCTGGCCCTTGAGCCCTGCGAGGGCCCTCCCTGCGCTGTGGCCCTGGGCTGCAGCTGCCCTGGCCAAGAGCTCGGCCCGTTGGGCTGAGCTGGGCTGGGAGGCCCTGCCTGGGTGTCCAGCCGGGCCCCACAGCGTGTCCCTGCTCCCCTTGCAGATGGCATCCACAGCGTGACCGCGCAGTGCGTCCTGCGGGTCATCATCATCACGGAGGAGATGCTGGCCAACAGCATCACGGTGCGGCTGGAGAACATGTGGCAGGAGCGCTTCCTCTCGCCTCTGCTGGCCACCTTCCTGGAGGGGGTGGCCACCGTGCTCGCGACGCCCAAGGAGGACGTCTTCATCTTCAACATCCAGAACGACACGGACGTGGGGGGCACGGTGCTCAACGTGAGCTTCTCGGCGCTGGCGCCGCGCGGCGGGCACTACTTCAGCTCGGAGGAGCTGCAGGAGCAGCTGTACATGAAGCGCATGGCGCTGACGGGCGCCGCCATGCTGGAGGTGCTGCCCTTCGACGACAACGTGTGCCTGCGCGAGCCCTGCGAGAACTACCTGCGCTGCGTCTCCGTGCTGCAGTTCGACAGCTCCGCGCCCTTCCTCGCCTCCGACACCATCCTCTTCCGGCCCATCCACCCCGTGACCGGGCTGCGCTGCCGCTGCCCGCCCGGCTTCACCGGCGACTACTGCGAGACCGAGATCGACCTCTGCTACTCCAGCCCCTGCGGCGCCAACGGGCGCTGCCGCAGCCGCGAGGGCGGCTACACCTGCGAGTGCCACGAGGACTTCACGGGTGAGAGCCCTGTGTGGGCAGCCGAGTTGTCCCTTCTCCAGCTCGCGGTTGGCCCTCCATCCGCCCATCCGCTATCCATGCATCTACACCCATCCATCCTCTGTCTATCCATCAATCTATCATCTGTCTCATCATCCCTTCATCCAGCTCCTCTTCAGACGTCTTCCTTCCATCCATCCATCCATCCATCCATCCATCTTTCAAAACATCTTCTGTCCCATCATCATTTCATTCAACTCCTCCTCAGCCCTCCAACATCAGTTCCTTCCTCATCCATCCATCCATCCATCCATCCATCCATCCATCCATCCATCCATCCATCCAACCATCCATCCCTTCCTCCAACTCTTCAGCCCTCCATCATCTTTCCCTTCCTCTTTGTCTCCATCAGCTTTATCTTCTTCATCTCATTCCCCCCCCATTCCTTCTTTTGTCAGCTCCTCATCCAGCTCTCCACCTCCTTCCCTCTCTGCTATTTCTCCATCTATTCCCGGCTCCATCCCTCATTCTCCATCTGTGCCTCCTTCCATCCCTCTGCTTATCCTGACTGTTTGTCCTCCACCCCCTTTTTCTTCCTGCCCTTACATCTATCCATCCCTCTCACCTTTGGCTTTTCGTCCATGTGTTCCTCCATTGTCCCTCTGTCACCCCTCCAACCCCATCTCCTCCCATCCCTCCATCCTGGTGGTTGGGGCAGGAAGATGGGCATCACTGGGACACCTTGAGTTTGGGCAGAGCTTTGGGGACACCCTTGGGTGCCAAGGACGCTCTAGGGTGGGCTGGGGACATCCTGAGGGGGTTGAGGACCCCATGGAGGGGCCTGGGACACCCTTGGGTGCT